CTCTCCGCGCCGTCTGCGGCCTCTCCGCGGGGCCGGGCGCGGCGGGGGCACCGCTGCGGGGGCGCCCGGGGGTTCCCTCTCTCTTTCACCCGGCCCGGGCGCTCCTGGCGTGGCTTTCCCTGTGGTTCGCACGCTCTGCCGGGCCGCCTCGGCCCCTTCAAAATCTTGAACCGGTTCAAGTGCGTGCGAAGGCGGAGGATGGCCGGGAGGGCGGCCGCGCCCGGGCAGGATCTCGTGCCAAATGTTAACCGGGGAGGGGCGGGGGGGAGAAGAAGAAAAAGCGGCCTGGCCTGCCCGTTAGCTTAACTTCGGGCTCGAACTGGTCGCTCAAAGCCCGGCTCGGCCTCAGCGCTTTTTTTTTTTGTTTTTTCACCGAAAGTGCCTCAAATAAGTTCTTAAGGACCCGCGCAGACCGGGCTCCCAGGCGAGGCGCCTTCGAGCTTTGCGGGCTTCAGCCCCACCGGTTGCTAACGCAAGTGTTCCATCTCCAAAGTCCGAAGAGCCACAATTAATGATGTTTTCCTGCCTTACGACGGAGAGATCTAAAATAATAAAAATAGCAGCGGGAGGGCTGAGATCAGAAAAGACTGTTAATCCTCTGCGGCGGCCGCCTGCCCTCGGCCGGATCTCGCTCCCTCCGCGCCCGGGCTCCCGTGGAAAGCGGCGAGCTTGGGCTGAGGCTCTCTCCGGAGCGTTTGGGGTCCTCTTAGAGCTGCGAACAGAGCTGCTTCCTCTCTCCCTTGGAGAAAGACAGGTTTCCCGACATGACTTCTGTAGAGTATCGCCGCGGTTTAATTTATTTACATTGCAAAGTAAAAGTTGTTGTTGCTAAGTAAACCCGGGGCAGATGGATGTTGTGGAGCCTTAGAAATGTTAAATAAGAGGAAAGGAGCAGACCGGTGAAGAGGGGTAGATAGAGGTTGAGTGTGAATTCAGAGCCCGTAATTAATTACATGCTTAATCCGGTTCCCAGGGGCCTAATGAAGAGGGTGTAAGTCTGAGAAGCCAGACCGTTTTGTTTATTTTTTTCCTTAATCCAATAAAAAGGACAGGACATAAATTTTTTTTTTTGAGGGTCACTCCCTTCATTTATGTCTCCTCTGTATGACCTGGGAGCCGTGAAGGCAGGAGACGGAGGGTGTGTGCGTGTCTGACTCCTGCCCTTTGCCGGGTTTTTCCATGGAGTCAGAAAGGTTCTTGCTGTGAAGCGCTGCGAGTAACTTCACTCCTGGGAGTCTTGAAAAACCTACTTCCTTGGTGAAGCACCCGCTGCTTTTACTGCAACGGGAGGTCGCAATTTGAAGCATGTCCCGGGCAGCCCTGGAGTTTTGGGGCCACTTCACTATGAGCGGGGCCTTATTTTCCCCTTTCTCCCCAGCCCAGCTGCTGTAGGGGGGGCTCTTCGGGGCGCGTGGGTTTGGGTGCTGCTAACCGAGGTGTCTCTCTCCTTCCCCCTCTCCCCTGGGTGCAGGGCGGCTGAGCCCCCCAGCCTGCACCCTGCGCAAGCACAAGACCAACAGGAAGCCCCGGACGCCCTTCACCACGGCCCAGCTGCTGGCCCTCGAGAGGAAGTTTCGGCAGAAGCAGTACCTGTCCATCGCCGAGCGCGCCGAGTTCTCCAGCTCACTCAGCCTCACCGAGACCCAGGTGAAGATCTGGTTCCAGAACCGCCGTGCCAAGGCCAAGCGGCTTCAGGAGGCTGAGCTAGAGAAGCTGAAGATGGCAGCTAAGCCCATGCTCCCACCCGCTGCTTTTGGCATCTCCTTCCCGCTGGGCGGCCCAGCTGTGGCCGGTGCCTCTCTGTACGGCGCCTCCAGCCCTTTCCAGCGGGCAGGGCTGCCTGTGGCTCCCGTGGGACTGTACACGGCACACGTGGGATACAGCATGTACCACCTCACATAGAGCTGAGCCCTGCTGAGCTCAGCCTGCCGGCTCTCCGCTCCCGCCGGCTCCGCACGCACTCCCTCCCTGCTCCTCTGGCTCCTTGCTGCGGACTTCCCCACGGGCCCTGTGGCAGAGACTGCTCCAGTCTGGTTCTGCTCAGCCTCTCTGCTCCCCCCTGTGATGCTGGCCCACCCTGGTCCAGTACTGTTCGGCTCTCCTCAGCAGTCCTGAGACCAGCTCAGCTCTCCAGCTGGCAAAACTTGAGGCATCACCCCAGCACTGGGCGGCAATGGGCCAGGCCTGCCCCACTTCCCCAGGTCCGGCTGGCAGCCTGGGGAAAGCCCCCTGCTGTGGGGGAAGGAACTGTGGAAGAGAAACGGCAAAAAGGGGGCTGAAAGACAGGATGTTTCTCTTACTTTCTGCAAGGCGAGGTCGAGAGACACAAGTGTAGAGCAGCCTCTCCCGTCCCTGTGTAACAGCACCGTCTGTTACTTGTGTTTGTTCTTCCACCAGCTCCTTTGGAAGGGGCTCTGTGTACTATGTAATATACTGTATATTTGAAATTTTATTATCATTTATATTATAGCTATATTTGTTAAATAAATTAATTTTAAGCTACTGTTTGATGCGGTTTTATTTGCTCCTTGTGCTGCCAGGGGTGACAGAAGAGGAGTCTAAATTTGTCTTGTGTGTTGGGGAGAGCAACCGGCTGTACCGGTGGTTCTTCCTCCTTCCCAGGAGGCTTCGGCCTCTGACAGACTCTCAGCTTGCTGTGTATCCCACAGTTGCCCTGTCCTTAGTGGCTGTGTGGGGTTTCTTCTCTTTCCCCCACCGCCCCTTGCCGGCAGCTCCCATTGCATCCCCCGCTCCGATGGTGGTGGTGGGGGGTGCCTGGTGCTGCTCTCCCCAGCGGCTCCAGGACCGTCGCGGCCCCGGCCAGGCTATCCGGCACCGGGCAGTAGAAAAGCGGTTCCTCTCCCTGACAGCGGCCTTTGGCCGTGATGCTCCCGGCCGCAGCCCCCGACAGCTGCCGGAGGCTTTGGGGATGGCGTGACTTGCCCCCAGCTCGGTGCCCAGCGCAGGGAGCGACCAAGGGATTCCCTTCGGCAGCCAGCGCTGCTCGGCGGAAAGGAACCAGAGGGGGGGCTCCGCGGTCGGGGGGGTGCGGGAGAAGGGGAGGAAGCGCGCGAACAGCGGGGCAGAGGCAGCGCCGGAGCCGAGGACGGGGCTGTTAGGGTTCGGGGTGGTGGGGATGGGCTGTGAGGGACGTTGGTGCTGGGGCGCGGGGCTGCGGCAGGCAGCCGGTGGGGCCCGCGGGGCAGACGGTCGGGACCGCTCGGCGCCGT